GATTCCCTTTCCATTTAATTTCGCTTGAAGAAGTAATCTCGTGAGTTTTTCTAAAAAACCTGGTATTGAGTTTCGGATAATGAAGCTTTTTCACGCAAAGAGATCCTGTGTTATTTGATTTTAGTATTCGTTATTAACTGCGACCAAGATATCATTACTTTGATGATGAAACATTATCAGTATGAACCGTATCGGGTCTAATTGATAAATATAAATAAAGTATTCAGTTATTCAGTTCAGGAATCATGAAAAAAAATAACTCATCATGTTATCATTCTCAACTGAACATCTAAAAGTCACGTCAAATAAATACAAGCGTTGGTTAAATCTAAATATTTAGTCCTTGAACAACAAGACCAAATACAACGCGTATGCTGTATGCTCAAACAAAAACCTAACTTGATAAAATAATTTTCCGGGAGCCCTTTCGGTCGTTGACCCGATGTCCCCATTCACGCTATCAAGATGTCCCTTGGACGTATCGATTGCACAGAACAATAACTTACAGAATAGACTGGTTTCGACTAGAATTAAACTATGTTTATCATCGGCGTGCCGTTAGAGATAATGACGACTCAGTTTGAATCAGCCACAAACTATGTATTTTGAATTCTAAAGTCACAAGGCTTATCTCATCGTAATAAAATCAAAGATCCCAATTTAGGCAATTGGGTATTTACGCATGGTACTTCTAGTATTACAGGATTGAGCTTCGGAACCCATTTTTCTGCAGCGTGGTGTAAGGTAAGCAAATGTTATTTCTCCGAAATTGTTTACCGCTGCTTGTTAAATGTCAAAGTGCTTGGCACCAAACTCAACGACAAGTACATATTTTATATATGTACCTTCGGTTTGCCTATTTAATTATGCTTGAGAACATGTAAGATCTCAGTAAACTTCCCATTAAATGAGCCTAAGTACGAAGAAAGACAAGACGAAGTTATGTCGCTTGGCAATATAGTGCTCATTCCAGTAAAGGGTATCCAAGCTCCAATTACTTTCTAAGTATTTTTGCTTGAGACACACAGTCGAACTAGGTAGATACAACTTCGAGGAAGAAGTCGAGAGTCTAACCCAACTCGGACGGACAACATTCGGGAAAATGCGCAGAATGTACCCACCCCAAATATCGCAGAAGCTCAAGATGAAAGCCAAGATGAAAATTTTGTACGGCACTAAGACGTGGCCGCACACAATGAGCCTTATGAATGCTGAATAATACAAAGAGCAAAGGAGAGGGCTACGACTGGTGTTCTTGCAAGATAGAATCAGGAACGAGAAGAATGTCACGAGAACCCTGGTAGCTGGTATAGTCGGAAGGATTGCGAGGTTGGAGTGACACTAGGCAAGGCAAATTACCAACAAATTGTATTCTCGACTGGTGACCATCTATGTGTCGTTGTGGTGAATTTCAGGACGCCAATTTCCACTAGTTGACATCTGTACGCCTCTAATAAAGAAGTGCTCTGAGACCACACTAGCAGCTACCACTATACTGCCTATTTCTACCAAATGTTTACATGTAATATCTTGGGTGCTAAAAATAGGTTGAAACACTACATAATACGAGCATTAATACTGTATTTAAGTAGAAATAATGCGAAAACAAAAACCTCTTAAACATATACATAACTCTCAGTTGCAATTGAATCACCAGGTTTTGCAAGCTCTTCAACCCAATTCTCCGATCTGTCTTTCTAACTTCTATATAGCCTTTGTTATCTGAAAGCTCATTCACATCTATAACAAAATCGACTTCTACGCTATATATACGGCTCACCGCGAAAACTCCAACAAAAAAATTACGTCGTCAATTTGATGAGATCCATCTTCCGGGTCGATGGACGGCAATTCTGCGTAATATAAAATATTCTATGGTTCTATCTTTCGTATTCGACAAGGACTGACGCATATCTATGGAATTGCACTAAAATAAATCTTTGATGGATGAATGGAAATCATTGGAAAAGATGGAGTCTTTGCGACAAGAGATAAGGCAGAGCTTAATTTTAGTAGAGAACTGAATTATCTACTGTCAGTCTACTGCAGTGTCGCTTAAGTAGACTATTCAGTTACTCAGTAACAATTACCAGAAAACTATCATAATATCAATAGCCCATATCAGTTGGCCAAATTGAAAGCCACCGAAATGTGATCGTATCGTCATAGATCGGTACTATCAAGACGGTCAATCACTAACCAATATCAATTCTGACGCGCTCCAATGCTTCTATATTGCCTATACGAGTATATACAAACAAACGTGCAGCGTTTGGGAATGACAGTTTTATCTGGTGCTCGTGAAAAAATCCGGCCGTTAAATTTGTCGTGACGAATATTGTTGGATGGATTTGTTTTTAGATTTAAGTGTTGATACAGTTTGGCTCTCAACATGTTTTGAACTATCTCGTTTGGAACCTCTGGGTCTGCGGGCGGACTTCGGTTCCCTCTGTATTTTGTACCGTATGTTCCATGGGGAGTGCTCTGAGGAATTGTTCGAGATGATACCGGCATCTCGTTTTTACCATCGCACCGCCCGCCACCGGAGTAGAGTTCATCCATACTACCTGGAGCCACTGCGGTCATCCACAGTGCGTTTCCAGAGGTATTTTTTGCCACGTACCATCCGGCTATGGAATGAGCNAGGTGAGACGCCCTTGGTCACGGTTCGCCCATTCCGCGAGGACCGGGCGCACCGCCTCGACGGTCCGGAGACCGGCTGACGGGTTCGCCAAGCGGCGAGACCACGCCTCCAGCACAGACCGCCGAGATTGGAGCCTCCGCGCTCTAATCGCTCCTTCTCCGGGACGTGGTTCCCCCCTGTCGCGAAGGTCACATCGCCATGCTCGTCTGCCTAGAAGGGCAATTAAAAAAAATCTTTCTGTTGTTAGAATCTTTAAATAAATATACTTATGATTGAGTCCTTGGTGGCGCATTTGAAGCTCAAGGTCTCATTATAATTAAATTTTATACTAAGCTCAGAGTATTTTGTATTTGTTTTCTTGCAAAATATCATGTGCTTCTTCAAGCGCGACTTGCGGAAAGTATTAAGCAATAGGCAAAGGCTTCGGTCTTCTCTTGACGTTGCTGAAGTTTATTAGTAACCACTCATCTTCAGGTGAGCCTTATGCTCGTCTGACTACAAGGGCACACATAAAAAAAGAATATAATGGTGATTTTGGGATTTAACATTGGGCGTGCACAATATTGGCTGTTAATTTTGAATGAGTTGCATTCGATTATTTGTAAAGATGCTGTCGGATTCACGTTTTATTCTTTCCTTAAATGTCAATGTTTTCAATTCTTCTTATATGATAACTAGCTGACCCGGCAAACGTTGTGTTGCCTTAAATAAGATTTCTAGGGAAATTCTACTGTAGAAAAAAAAAAAAAAACCTCATTTAACCACAAAATACCTCATTATAAACAAAAAAATATATCCAAAAAATTAAAATAAAAAATAAATGTTTGGGGTGTACAACCCTTTTTACTTAGGGGTATGAAAAATAGATAGTAGCCGATTCTCAGACCTACTGAACATACTATTGATACACAAATAAAACCAAAAAAACATGGCTGAAAAATGTATAGTATTGTATAGCTCTCAAATATAATAAGTGTATAATCTATTATGTATAGTGAGTGAGTAAGACAGGAGACCGGCTTCGTCCTCATCCCTACTACGTGATGTTTGCTGGATGAGTGGTGACACTTGGCGGGGATAGCTGATCGATTGATAGTTGATCAGTAGTCGACCGGCGAGGGCGGGAAATCAAATTCAATTTAAAAAAAATCATAATTAAAGGAACTTGAAATTATAAACTCTGAATAAGAATTTATCGTACTACAATTATAATATTTGATTGCCATCTTGCAACCTTATTGCGGATCTGTGCATAGAAAAAAAAATAATCGGGATGGAAAAATAGGGGTTGATCGTATAAGAGTGAAAATTGAGAGTAATATGATTTTTTTATTTTAAGTCATGACAAAACAAAATAAAAAACTTGCCAAAAAAATTAAAGTTTATAATTAACAAATAAAAAATAGGGGTTGATCGTAGAGGGGTGAAAATTTCAGAGTAATATGAATTTTTTTATTCTACGTCATGACAAAATAAAAACAAAATTCTCGCAAAAAAATTTAAAGTTTTTAATTAGCAAATAAAAAATAAAGGTTGATCGTAGAAGGGTGAAAATTGAGGATTGTATGTATTTTTGTATGTTGTATCATAAAAAAAAAAGAAATTAAAAATTGTGTCTAAAAAATAAAAAAAAAATTTAGGTGTGGACTACCCCTAACATTAAGGGGGATGAAAAATAGATGTTGGCCGATTCTCATAGATACCGGATAAGCACAAAAAATTTCATCAAAATCGGTCAAGCCGTTTCGGAGGAGTATGGCAACGAAAACTGTGACACGAGAATTTTATATATTAGATTATATTCTCGAAAACTACTACTACAAAATTCACCCTTTATAACTTGGTAGCAACATCATCGTTACCTTATTTTCACTCCTTCCTGTACTCCTCCTTATTAGTTTCTTTTTTATTTTTTTATTGCTGATGTGGTTGGACAAGCTCACAGCCCACCTAGTGTTAAGTGGTTACTGGAGCCCATAGACATCCACAACGTAAATGCGCCACCCACCTCGAGATATAAGTTCTAAGGTCTCAAGCTCTTAGTTACAACGGCTGCCCCATCCTTCAAACCGAAACGCATTACTGCTTCACGGCAGAAATAGGCAGGGTGGTGGTACCCACCCGCGCGGACTTACAAGAGGTTCTACCACCAGTAACTTCTCCTCAACTTATTTTAGTTTCCCCCTATTTTGAACTACAGTGCCAACAAGAGTGCAACTGAAACCTTTGCTCAAACCCTTCCAGGGAATTCCCCTTTGGTGATTTTAGAGTTCCAGTAAACACTTAATATCTGTATTTTTAATAATATCACATTTACTGACATAACAACGCTAATGAAATTCTGTTTTTCTTTCAGATACTCGTCTGCAGTTCCCATAGACACGGCCATGATATTTCCACTGAGGACCCTGACATAATAGACATGTCGGACAATTCTTCGCATCACGGCAAGGTAAGAGGTATTTTTTGCGCGTTTTGTTGGACAAGCAAGTTCTTATCTATCGGAATGCTCCCACACCTTTTCAGGAATAATGTCGAATCGTATTTAAAAAAAAGCAAATTGTATTCCTTGATACAGACGTCCTTTATTTCAAACCAAAACATAACTGTTTCGTAAAAGATATAGACAGTATAGCTAACCCGTAACCCCTAGTGTTATATAAACTAGTCTGTAAAATATATGTTAGAATTGACCTAAATTTTTTTTTGTTATTGCTTGGATTTGTTGACGATCTCACAGCCCACCTGGTGCTAAGTGGTTACTGGAGCCCATAGACATCTACAACGTAAATGCGCCACACACCTTGAGATATAAGTTCTAAGGTCTCAGTATAGTTACAACGGCTGCCCTACCTTTCAAACCGACACGCATTACTGCTTCACGGCAGAAATAGGCGGGATGGTGGTACCTACCCGTGCGGACTCAGAAGAGGTCCTACCTCCAGTAATTACGCAAATTATAATTTTGCGGGTTTGATTTTTATAACACGATGTTATTCCTTCGCCGTGGAAGTCAATCGTGAACATTCGTTCAGTACGTATTTCATTAGAAAAATTGGTACCCGCCTGCGGGATTCGAACACCGGTGCATCGCTAGATACGAATGCAACGGACGTCTTATCCTTTAGGCCACTTCAATCATCAAATAAAAATAATACGAATAAAACTTTATCCTAAATTTGATTTTTTTTTATTGCCCTTATAGGCAGACAAGCATACGGCCCACCTGATGGTGAGTGGTTACCGTCGCCCATGTACTTCAGCAAAGGGGCAGAGCCAAGACGCTGCCTACCGCTGTGATTTCGCGCCATCCAGCATTTTTCAAATATCATCACCGCCAATTCACATTGGAACAATGAAATATTGATTTGACAGCCAGCAAAATGGTGTCTTATTAGTTCCAATTTAGCCACCTCCATGCAGATCTATGTCACATCATCATGATCATCATCAACCCACAGTCGTCCACTGCTGGATATAGGTATTTTCCAAGCCACACCAATGAGCCCGGTCTTCGGTTATCCTCGTCCACCTCTTGCCACATGAAAGTACTGAAAGGCGCTGATTGTCACATATGTCGTGGAACTTCCAGACCGAACAGACTTTTGTACTAAAGATCGAAAACTACGGACTTGCTGCCAACCTCACTCCGGGCTCGTCACAGTGGTAATCTGTTTCCATCCGATTGATACGTATAGATTTCGATTGGATTATTTCGTCTTCTCGCATTAAAACTGTATAATCTAAAAACTTACTAATTTTACAGGAGAGTGTTTTAAAGGTTTAACATGTAATATTTATAATGTTAATCATCTTTGCAAATTTTATTTTTATTTTTTACCAGTTACATTATATCTGTCTTTTAAAGTAAGATAAAATTATGTCTTAATTTTGTTAATAGTGGTCAAAACATAGGTAAACTATAAAAAAAACTAAACTACGCTCTTTTGACAGTATTTATGAGGTTTTTTTTTTATTGCTTAGATGGTTGGACGACCTCACAGCCCACCTGGTGTTAAGTGGTTACTGGAGCCCATGGACATCTACAACGTAAATGCGCCACCCACCTTGAGATATAATTTCTAAGTTCTCAGTATAGTTACTGCTTATACCAAAATATTCCGCATATTAACTCAATTTCTAATATTTTTGGAAATTGTACACTTTTAATGCGAAAAGGCGATTTGTTAAATCGTTCTAAACACACCGGAAGAGTGTATACTGTAAATTATTTCCACGATCAAACCATATAGAATAACCTTGGTAATGAAAGACCACACTACCGTCATATAAATTTACAAGCGGCCCGCTCCGGCACCGCTCGGAACTTTAACAAAAATTTCAACGATATTTCACGTTGTTTTAGATTTTTAAATAAAAGAACACTTATTACGGCAAAACTATAATAGTTAGAAAATGCTGTCGTGACATTTTTTGTAAATAATAATGTGTTCTATAAAGTCGTAGTACATTATTTTATTCTATAATCAATAGTTTTCGCAGGGCACGCGATGTAAAAGAATATTGTAGGTAAATTTTTTTTCACGTTGGGCTACATTATTGGAGTTTTAGTAAGTATCCCTAATTTTTTTCAAAAAAGATTATAACCTATGTATGTCACTCGGGAATAGTGTAGCTTCCAACCAGTGAAAGAATTTTTCAAATCGCTTTAGTAGTTTCGGAGCCTATTCAATACAAACAAACAAACAAACAAATCTTTCCTCTTTATAATATTATACTTAGTCTGGCCATAAATACGGTTACAATTAAAAATAAACAAAATATTACATTTGAATTTTGTATCTGTCATTTTTATATGATTTCTCATTGAGTTCTCATTTTGGCGCCAGTACATTGTAGAATATTTTGCGATATTAAAATGGAGTGGGGTGATAAAGAGAACCGAATCGCTGTGATTGCATTACACAAAGTAGGTATGGAGCCAAATGCAATTTTTAAAACTCTCCATACGCTTGGTATTAGTAAAATGTTTGTGTACCGGGCTATTAATAGGTGCAATGAGACCTCCTCTATTTTTGACAGAAAAAGATCTGACCGTCAACGTAGTGTTCGTACGAAAAAGGTGGTCAAAGCAGTAAGGTAAAGAATTCGAAGAAATCCTGTCCGAAAGCAAAATACTTTATCTCAGGGGATGAAAATAGCACCTAGAACCATGTCGCGTATTTTAAAAGATGACTTAGGACTTGCAGCCTATGAGAGACGTACGGGTCATTTCTTAACTGATAATTTAAAAGAGAATAGGGTGGTAAAATCGAAACAAGTACTGAAGCGGTACGCAAAGGGAGGTCATAGAAATTTTTTGTTTACGGATGAGAAAATATTTACAATTGAGCAACATTTTAACAAACAAAATGACCGTATTTATGCTCAAAGCTCTAAAGAAGCTTCCCAATTAGTCAATGGAGTGCAACGTGGGCACTATCCGACTTCAGTGATGGTTTGGTGGGGTATTAGCTATGAAGAAGTGACTGGACCATACTTTTGTGAAAAAGGTACCTTAAACATCGGCACAAGTGTATCAAGATGCCATTATTGAAAAGGTAGTGAAGCCCCTTAACAACACCATGTTCAATAATCAAGAATGGTCCTTCCAGCAAGACTCGGCGCCAGGTCATAAAGCTCGGTCTACGCAGTCTTGGTTGGAAACGAACGTTTCGGACTTCATCAGAGCTGAAGACTGGCCGTCGTCTAGTCTCGATCTTAATCCGCTGGATTATGATTTATGGTCAGTTTTAGAGAGTACGGCTTGCTCTAAACGCCATGATAATTTGGAGTCCCTAAAACAATCCGTACGATTGGCAGTGAAAAATTTTCCCATGGAAAGAGTGCGTGCTTCTATTGATAACTGACCTCAACGTTTAAAAGACTGTATTGCAGCCAACGGAGACCACTTCGAATAAGCTTTTTATACTTCAAATTGTTTTATATTTATGTATTAAACTAACACACTGTAAAAGTAATAAATGTTATTTGCCATAGATTTTTTTTTGTTTTCCTTTGTAACAGTATTTACGGCCAGACTAAGTATAGTATACATATACTATCATCGTTTCATTGTGAAAATGCTTAGCCAGAAACACAATAAACCGGTACTAAACAAGTTAGATTTATCAGCAATGTTCCTAGTTGAACCGAATGAAGATCAGTATTCAGGCAAGACCGCCTCGATTTGTCAACGTCTGCAGCACACCCCCGTTGTATGGGGTCGGAATAGATAAAGGGGTTCCTTGTACGTGTTGATGGCCCATATTTAGTTTGCGGTTTTGGTTTGACTGCGTTATGTGCATTTTATAATGGAAACATGATGTTTTGGTTAAATTAGTTACAGGTCACGGGTATTTTTGCCTTTAGCGCTGTCCTGAACCGCTTGTGGTAACAAGAAAATTCTTTAGTCTTAAATGTATAAGTTCGCAGAGGTGTGTTTGGATATTCTGTGTTTGGTCATACCCTTTTTATTCTCATCCAACTGCTAATAGTTAAGATACTAAAGGGACCAAATTCTTCTGTTTTCCAAGAACTGGGTGGGCATTGAAGAATATCTATCAAAACTAGCGAACAGTAGCATTGACATTCTTGAGACATAACTCGACAAGGCGATACCCGTGAACGCGACGTTGACTGGTCCCGTGCTAAGTTCGTAAAGAACTTGTGTTACAGATAGTATAGAGTATAACGGAAATGAATGTAAGATTTGTATTATACGCATACATATATTTAATATACATCCATAATCCTGGAAAAGATATTTTATATATATTATACAACTATCTTCCCTTGGCGGGATTCGAACCCACGACCCCTTTGTGTAGTGACCATTTCACTTACCACTACACCAGACGGCCGTTGATATTACTCGTTAGTTCAACCCTACGTTGTTATGCCATTCTAAAAACGCAGTCAGCGTAATTTAGTTGTATCTGTATCCGTACGGTTTCCCGATTGGGTTGAAACATTTCACAGTTTTAGCACTTTAAGGTGAGTTTCAAATAGGATTAACGTGCCACAAACAACGCGAAATTAGCCCCAAAACGTGTGCACGAACATTTCGGGACGGCCGTGGTCACAAATAGATTCACACATTGTTCTCATAAATGAACAAAGGCGTTGAAATCGTGCCGGATTTTAATCGATAATGACAATACAAAGCGGTCGACCATTATCTATAATAATGTTACGCCGGTAAGAGTAACGCCATCTATCGCCGAATAGTTGAACGAATAGCGTAGGATCTAGTAGCACCTAGAACGCTCGAGAAGTACAATGCCATCTATTGTCAGATAGCGGAAACACGATACTAGAAATGTGCGGAAAATTCTCGATAATTCCAGGGATGTGGTATCGGCTACAATCGGGCTAACATAGCCCAAAGTAAAGCCCAAGACTGGTCGCGTAGGCGAAATACTGTCAAAGCCCTCTCTCTCCCCAACCTGG